CCCTTCAGCAATTTGGAAATGCGCCATTAACAAATTGCCAACCGAAGAATTCGTAAAAAGAGTTTCGAGAAGTTTGGCAGCTCGATATCACATGCCGAAAATTGGACATTTTTCAAGAATTTTCTTCTAGCACAGTTTTAAATGAAATTCGATGGCTATTTTTTTCCTTATTAAGTCATGCTGGCAGTGTAGAAAAATATTTTTTTTTAGTAATTATGACGCATAATTAATATAATATATGTACGTAAAAGAATTGAACCCTTATGGTGGTTGAAGAAACTTGCTACCGGTTTGAGCTAGAACAAAAAGGAGGCACTCGTTGTAATCTATAGTGTGTCCTTAATTGCTGGAGCAACGGAAATTAAAAAATTTTCGCGGCGTACAAAATGGCAGCGTTTCAAAGGGAAGGATGAAATTTTTTAGGGCACTCTTTCTACAAGCACCGGCTAAAACGCATAAAAGTTAAAATCACCACAGTATTTCATGTGGTAGATAAACTATACACAAACATTTCCACAAAATTTCAGATCTATTGGATTATTAATTGTCGAGATATCCGCCCTACAAGTTTGAAAAGCGTGAAGTTAGCTCTAACAAGAGAGTGCTACACCTTTTATACCTTCATAACTTTCTCAATTCTTCAGATTCTTTTTCTACACACTCGTTGCCGTTCCAGAGTTAGCTCGAACGTGATATAGCCACGCGCTCTCCAAAGACCTGTAACTGTCACAATTTTTCGAATCTTTCAAAAATTCCTTCAGAATCTTGTTCCACGCACTTGGAACTATCGATTGATTGAAAAAAATGTTCGATACTTCGACACTGAGATACCGAACAACTTCTTGGGTAGCGATGTGTATGTTAGCTAACATGTTATCTACACACGATAGCTGAAATGGGACACCGGGACTCTGTCGGTAAGGTCATTTCTCTCTGAAATCGCGCGCTGTTGCACGAGAATGTTCTCGCTCTAACGGAGAACCATCTGGCCGTTGTAGTGAACGAATGTCCGGGTGGAATGTTTCGATGCAACAACGGATTGTGCCTGGACAGTAAGAGACGTTGTGATGGTCGACCGCAATGTTCGGACGGCTCGGACGAGATCAACTGCCGTACGATCACCATATTTTCACTAAACTACCTGTCTCTCCTTCTGTCTTTCTCTAACTCTTTTTTATCCATCTCTTTTTGTCTCTTTCTCTGACTATGGATTAAGGCTGGTTCGCATGGTAGGCTGCACCGTATCGATGGAGGACTACCTTGCTTTTCGATCTACAGTCGATACGAACGAATTTATGAGTCCCGTGAACGAATCGACCCCCCAGCGGTTCTCAACCTAGAACCGCCATAACAGGCTGTTAATTAGGAAGATTTAATAGGCCACCCTTTGTTCGTGATAAAATGGCATGCACAAAAGGTAAATTTCCTTTTTTGCACGAGCCTCAAAGGTTTCTGGGACGAGATTGAGAACCGTTGCAGCTACCCACCTGCGCCCCATTTTTCATAATGCACGCAGCATAGTTTGGCGAGCGGAGGAGCTCCCCCCCCCTTTCTTTCTTGTTTTTTTTTCTTTTTGCCTCGGTGTTTTTCTCCCGGGTTTTTACCATTTGGCCAACACGAAGCGAAAGAAACAGGAAAAATGTGTTCCTTCGGTTTCAATTTAGAGGAAACGCACCACCACTTAAGTGGGCTTAATTGAAACGATCAACGCCGTCAGACCATCGATCACGGTGTGTCCAGCCATCGAATTGCAAATCAGCTACGTCTGGACCGGTTCTTCCCGACTCTCAACTTCCTTTGTCTGTCAATTTTCTCCTTGGATTGGGTTAAGTCCGCGATTGCACTTGATGAATTATTCCGCGGTTGGGTCTCGACAGTGCACCAAGCTAACAGTAATCGCCGTGGGAAGGCTCGTCTCTTTGTTTTCAGCGCGTGTAACCTAACTTAACCAAACCTAACCTATCTCTTTCTCTATCTCTCGACGTCCACGTACGCACGTGTCTCTTAAGTGGCTTTCCAGTTCTCACAAGCCAGGGAATAACTTAGGAAAAATTCGCGAATAGTCTAGAAGAATGTGTGGCAATGTCTTGGTTTATTGGATGGATGCTTGAGGGAACGAGCTGGAGCGTGAAAAACGAGGAGAAGCCAGAGAATGGAAATCGATGCGTACGCGGATCCATCCATCCCCCCTTCCTCGAGCTCTGGCTGGCCGCGCGTCGGTCTTCAAGGCAGCAATTAAGAAGCTGTAACTAATGCTAGCACTACGGCCAGACGTTAATCTCGTTTCCTCGTTCTATCGACCGTGTTTCGAGAGCCGGACGTTGACTGCCGCTTGAATACCGACGCCATCTTTGCCAGAGCCACGTGATCTAAGCTGAGACACATCAACGAGGCTACGGAAGCTCCTTGGACTGTCCTATAGATAGAGATTTCGAGGTTATGAACGCCTGGAAGATAGGATGGACCCATCCGTGGAAATGTTGGATTTCCGCGGTTGGTAGTACTGTTAAGGGGCTGGTTCTTGCACGGGGCAATTCTTCGAGGAAAAATGGAGAGAAAAGGTGGTACGGCGGTTCTTCGTAGGATGCTTCGTTTTCGGGGAAATTGAAGTTGAAGTGCGGCCGGTGGTCTGACGTGACTCAGGGGTTCTCAACCTAACCTCTCTAAATCTGTAACTTCTTTACGGTCAGTTCTGTTGTGATTCCCTTTCACTACTAGAATCCTTGCACTGTCCATGTACCGTTTTGAGAACAAAACTAAAAATTTCTTATACCGGATATATATATACATATTTAAAAAATTGACAATTTTTCAAGGGAGTATCTTTTTATTTGATTCACCTTGATTGCCGCAAATGTTTAGGTATGTAGAAAAAAGAAATTGTTCGAAGGATTCGTCAGCGGTGAAATATTTGTCAGATTGTGTTCCATGAATCGTGAAAGGATTCTAAATGAGAAGCACTGTGCACGGGTACGCTAAAAGCACACGCGCTCGCGACCGACTTTCAAGTCGTTTTTCTTGAGAACGGGAACTCGGGCGAAAAAAATGCATAGCACATTTTTGACTCGTTTTTCCATGAACAATCGCCCCGTTAGCTCTGCCCGCGGATTACGTCGCATTTCACGCGAGAAAAGACCACCTTAAACGGATCTCACCCGATCTCGTCGATCTTTAAATACTTTCGCCGGTGGAAATGAAACATTTATTATTATTCCAATCCTCTCTTTCTTCTCTGTAAGATTCATTGCTCACCCTCGACCTACTTGACGTATTTTTGTCAGGACATTGACCAGGACAGATGCAATTGCAATCAAACTTCTGTAGCTTCGTTGGGTTGCTCCAAAATCGACATGTTTATTCTCCACTTTTCAGCCGGTAACATAAACAAATTTCTGAAGAACTCACTGCTCTGGATGGATCACTATTTTTGCAAGGAATTTTATCACCCTGTTGCTCGAATTTTCTCTATCTATTTGTCTGTCTCACTCACCCTTTCAATTATTGCTCTCTCTTTCTCTATTTTCGTCTTACACTTATTGTTTTATTTTTCTCTCTTTTTCTTCTTGGTCTCCTCTTTCAGCACAGGTTGCCTGATCTTGATATGTCCCTCTATCTCTATAATTGTATATATACATATTTATATATTTACATATTTACCTATCTATTTTCTCTATGCTGGTATATTATATATATATATGTATATTCACAGGTTGTAAGTATTGCACAGCGCACGTACACGAGATCCTAAAATCTATTTACACTGGATGCTGACAAAGAGGCAAAAAATTCAACCATTTAAGGGCTAGGTTTACCTAATAAATCCCAATTTTTGGCCAATTTCTTTAAACATTAATTTTTACCTGTTAACTTTTGATCAGCCCCAGTGTATGTACTCCTCTCTCTTTCTCTCTCTCTCTCTCTCTCTCTCTCTCTCTCTCTCTTTCTCTCTTTCTCTCTCTCTCCCTCTCGCCCCATCTCGCGATAGTCACGAAGCAAGTTTCGAAGATAGCCACCTCAATTTCGCTCTTTATTCCACGTCGAGGTATCTTCGATCTTTACCGACTTTCCCACCCGGTAACTTGTATCGCATATACGTACTTTGCGAGTTGTTCGATGTTTCGTTGCAGAAAATGTTCCTGT